ACAGCAATAACAATAGTTTTGTTTATAATTATAATAATAGTAATAGTAATAATATTGACTCACAGCCACACCAACAAAAATCGATTGTAAAATTACAACAACAATATTCTAATTCTACAAATAGTAATTTACCTTGGATCCAACAACAACAACAACAATCGCCAACATCAACAATTGAAAATTCAAATGTTGCTAAATTAGAAACAATTGATAATAAGAATAAAAATAATAATAACAACAATAATAATGGTGGTAGTAGTAGTGTCACTAATAATAGTAATTTAATGCAAGGAATGAATTTTTCTACTAATTCCGCCTCCGCACAACATCAACAATCTCCACAAAATAATCCTAATCGACAACGTCAAAAATCTAGATCCTCAAGCAAAAACAACAACCTGTCATATCCAACCACTCCTAGTCCATCACAAAATTATACTCTATTTATTAATAATAATAATAATAATAATAATAATAATAATAATACCACCAGTAATAATAATAATAATAATAATAATAACAACAACAACAACAACAGTACAACTATCACTGGTGCTGCTGCTCTTACTTCTAATACATCTACTACCTCATTGACTCCATCAACACTTATTACCACATCCACTAATAACAACTTGGCACAAATTTCCATTAATAGCAGTGGTGTTACTAATAGGCTTTCTGCATTACCATCAATCATAAATTCTAGTCAACAAGCACCAAAAACCTCAGCAACCTCTACCAATCAAGCAGCTTTACAACTTCCATATCATCATCAACCACAATTACAACAACATTTACAGCAACATTTACAACAACAGCAACAACATTCACTTCCACCAATGTCATATCATCAACAATTCCATCATCAGTACTCTCCTCCTCCCCCACACCCTTACCATTATTCTCATCAATATTCACAACAATATCCAAATCATTCAATTCACCCAAGACAGTATTATTTAGCATCTAATACTACAAGTCCACCCACAATCACAACTGCTTCTGCTACTGCTGCTAATAAAAGCAATAGTAGCAGTAGCAATACACCCACTTCACCTAATCTTGGTAGTGGAACAAGTAGCATATCTTCAATAACAAATCTTACATCAATAAATAGTAGCAATAGAAGTAACAATAATAACAACAAAAATATTGCAGCTTCCTGTGTCACATTAATGATTTCTTCACATATATCATGCCAACCTTCATCTTCTTTCATCTTCTCTTTTAACATCAAAGGTGGCAATGTCCCATTAATAAACATTATACAAAATCAATATT